CTTATCACCAGGGACAGACACTCAATGCAGGAGCTGCCCCTTGATGTCAGTGTGCTCCCACAGCCAGTCTCCTTTGGCCAGCCAACCTCCTGCTGCCCCTCCACTCCCTCTGGCCAGCCTCCCTTGGCCCTACCCCCGCGCCTCCCTACTGACCAGCCCTATGGCCCCGATTGGGCTGGCCGGCCAACCTCCTGTGGCCCCTTCTTCTGGCTGGCCAGCCTCTAGCAGTCCCTTCCCCTGGCGGCCAAACTCCTGTGGCCCCAATTGGCCCCATTCAGCCCTGGTCACTGGCCAGGCCAAGGGACCCCACCAGTGCACAAACTTGTGCACGGGCCTCTAGTAAAAAGTAAAACAAACAAAAGAGCAAAGCACAAGTTATCCCTTCCTCCAACATACAGAGAGAGCAAAGACTTCTGAGAAGTTCCTATAAGCATGCCTTTGGACATATGAAATAGTTTACCATTAAACATGAAGGAATTTTAACTTGAAGTTATAGAAAACTAGAGGCCTGGTGCATGAAATTCATGCACTTACGGCGGTGGGGGTGGGGTGAGAGTGTTGTCCCTCAGCCCAGCCTGCGCCCTTTCATGATCCGGAAGCTTGCAGGGAGTGGGCCTAAGCTGTCAAGTTGGACATCCTTAGTGGTCAATTTGCATATTATCCTCTTAAGCCTGCAGGATCAGGCTGAAACTGGCTCTCTGACATCCCCTGAGGGGTCCTGGATTGCGAGAGGGTGCAGGCCAGGCTGAGGGGCCCCACTGGTGTGCAAAATTGGGATCAGGGAGGGACACAGGAGGTTGGCCAGCTGGGAAGGGTCAACGGAAGGGCTTCAGGGCATGTCTGGCCCGTCTTGCTCATTCCCAATTGGCCAGACCCCAGAAGCAAGCTAGCTTACAGGTTGGAGCATCTGTCCCCTGAGATCAATGCATGTCATAGTGAGTGGTTGAGTGGCCTTAGCATATCATTAGCATATTACGCTTTGATTGGTTGAATGGACTACTGAACACTTAGCATATTAGGCTTTTTTAATATAGGATAACTGATGAAAATATGACATGGCATTTACTCCTCTGTTTATTATGATACCCTTAAAAATGTTTGTAAAAATACAGGTGCCTTTAAAATACTACCTATTTGTAATGTCAGCAGAGGGAGGAGTAGATATTAAAGAATTCTTTATTACTTAAGGTGAAATCTTATCAGGAAACCCTAGCAAAACTACCCTGTAGGAAAGATCTGCTATAGCTGACAAATCAGGCAACCTCTGAGCCAGTAGCCACGTCAGTTCTATTTGATTGGTCCTGGGACCTTGTTTACCTTAACTAACTGTGACCTTTTATTCCACTGTTCAGTTAGGATGGCCTGACTTAAGTGTAAAAAACACATAAGGGACCCATGCTATAGAGAGAATGTTCTTGATAGAAAGAAGCAACAGTAATGATAAGCTTCTTTTTAAAAATCTTAGCTTTCTGGAAAATAGCAGATTATAGTGGTAAGGACTTTGGAATTAGACAAGCCTGAATTTAAATCCTGGCTCTTATACTTACTAGCTGTGTGATCTTTTAGGTTGCTTAACTTCCCTGATCCTTAGTTTTCTCATTTGTAAATTGGAACTAGTAATAACTGTATATATGTGTATTAATTGCCTATCACAATAACTGGCAGATGGTAAGTAGTATTGAAAAAAAGATAGCATTGTTATGACTGTTGCTGTTAACTTCCTTGCAAGATATTTAGATTACTAGACATACTTATTAGAATGTATGCATCATGTATTCTGATTTAAAGAGTCAGGAAGGAGCCAAAGCCAGTTTGGCTCGGTGGATAGAGCATCGGCCTGCAGACTGAAGGGTCCCGGGTTCGATTCCGGTCAAGGGCATGTACCTTGGTTTCAGGCACATCCCAGTTGGGGGTGTGCAGGAGACAGCTGATTGATGTTCATCTCTCTTAGATGTTTCTAACTTTCTATTTTAAAAATAAAAGAAGTAAAGAGTCAGGAAGGAGAGGAAATCAGTTTCTAGAGACAACAACAGAAATTGTTTTTAGAGAGAAATACTAAAGTATCTAGGGATAAAAGGTCATGATGTCCGAAACTTACCCTCACCAAAAAGATTTCATAACAGAAATCTTACATGAGGGCCTATCTGTGTAGAAATTGTTAAAGTGCATTTTAAAAATTAAACTTGTTATTTTGAAATAAAAGCCTATAGAAAAGTTGTAAGAATATTAATATGAATCCTTTTATGCCCTGCCTAGATTCATACATTGATAACATTGGTCATATTTGCTTTACCTATTTTATATGCAATGTAATATGATATACATATTTTTCTTCTTTTTTTGCTGAGGGTAAGTTGCAGAGATCATGACCTTTTATCTCTAGATACTTCAGCATTTCTCTCTAAAATCAAGGACAGTCTTTTCCATAGCACACTGTAAAATCAAATCTAAGAAGTTTAACATTGATGTCTATTATTTGATATACAGTTCATATTCAAATTTTCTTTATTGTCATAGTAGCTATTCTTTGTAACAATTTTCCCCCCAATTAAGAATTTTCCATTACATATAGTTATAATTTCTTTGGTCTCTCTTTTTTAAAATTTATTTATTTATTTTTTAATTTTAGAGAGAGGAAGGGACAAGGATAGAGAAATGAACATCAATCAGCTACCCCCTGCATGTCCATGTAACTGGGGCATGTGCATTGACTGAGAATTGAACCAGTGACCTCTTAGTTTATGGGTCCAAACTCAACCACTGAACCACACTGGCCTGGCTCTTTGGTCTCTCTTAACCTGGAGCAGTCCCTCAGCCTTTTATTGTTTTCATGATTAAAATTTTTTGAAGAACACAGGCTTGTTTTGTACACTGTCCTTTAATTAAGGTTTGTCTGCTTGTTCCTCATAAATCCATAGAGGTTATGCATTTTGGGCAGGTAGTGTATCCTTAGTGCCTCACATAGGATGCATTCATTATTGGTTATGTTAATTAACTTCGATCACTTAGCTAAGGGATTTAAAAAATATATATATATTTCCTTATTGGTTTCAGAGAGGAATGGAGAGGGAGAGAGAGATAGAAACATCAATGATGAGAGATAACCATTGATTGGCTGCCTTCTGCATGCCCCCTACTGGTGACTGAGCCCACAGTGGGCATGCGCCCTTGGCCGGAATCAAACCTGGGACCCTTCAGTCTGCAAGCCCACGCTCTATCCACTGAACCAAACCGGCTAGGGCAGCTAAGAGATTTTTTCACTAAAAAGGTAACTTTCCCTTTGTAGTTAATAAGTAATCTGTGAGGAGAGATACTTTGAAGCTGTGTAAATATCCTGTTCCTCAACAAACTTTCCCCCAATAGTTTTAGAATCATAAAGAGCCTTTTTATGTCATAATCAAGTGGTTTCCTCACCTTGATTAAGAACTTCTTGAGAAAATAGTTTTTACTTTAAAAAATTATGCCAAAGTACCTTGTACACAGTTAAGTACTTAATATTATTGACTACCTGACCTTGAGCCTCCTGTCACCAGATTGCTGATTACATTTCTCCAAAGGTTTTGTCTGCTTACCCTGAGAAGAATTTAGCAAATACAGAGAAGCTAGTTACATGCGAGTTAGAAATGGTCACTAAATGGACTGATTAGGCCTTGTTAGCAGTGAGGTGGGAGCAGCAACACTGACCTGGATGTTTTGAAAGAATACTTAATAACAATAATGAAGAAAAGCTCTGATTATCATCACTGGATAAACTTGTCAAATGTATAGTATCCTTCCATTTTAATTTGCATTTGTGATGAAAGGAAGTTTCTGGGTGGTGTTCATCTTTCACTTTAGACTCACTTTTTTTTTTTTTTTTTTTTTTTGTCAGCCTACTACTTAGGGTGTCACCATCATTCTCTAAGAATTAGGTCAGGTTTCTTGTAGATCTTGTCACATTGCCACTTGGAATTTAGCTGGAGGAAAGAAAGTAAGGCACAATTGCTGTTGTTTAGATGAACATCTTATTCAGGAGGGCTTATTGGAGTCAGTGAAGCAGAGTAGAATGTCCTCATTCTGTCTGGCACTTGTTTTGTTTTCCTCCTCTGCTCTGAGGATCTTTCTTCCATCTTTCACTGTGCCATATCTTGGGCAGAGAATTAAAATTAAAATTGGGCTGATCATTAAAATTCCTCTATCCCCAATTTCTGGCTGATGCCTAAAATTTCATCAATGCCAAGAAATTAATTTGTTTATGTAAATTAGGTTACCAAAAGCGGATCCTTGCTGGGAATTGGAGAGGTAGCACAAGCCAATATCTAAATATGAAATATCAAACATTCAGAACTTTTATATAATAGCTAGTTGCTAGAAGCGCTCTGCAAAATGGGTAATTACTTTTTTCCTGGGGCAAGGAGAAACCTGGTTGGGGTTTTAATAGTTGGGGACTCTGAGCAAATTTAAGGTGCTTGAGACTAAAGGAAGGGAAAATGAATATTAAGGAAGAGGAAGGATATTTAAAAGATACAATACACTTACACCACAATTTCCGTAGATCCCTGGTGGAGTGGTGTCTGAAATCTACAGAGCATTTACAGTTAAGAAATTCATGCTTTGTTAAATCAGGAATTGGTGATAGCCAATCCTTTAAAAAAAGGTTCTTTCTCCCATCTGCACCTAAGACATATCTCCAGGTGTCCTAAGGGGTAGTGTTAAAGCTGTATAACTAACTTTCTCAGCCAAGTTATTCCAATCTTTTGCATGCAGTTGGGATGTAGAATTAGTAGGTAATATACAGGATTCATTGATCAAGGGGAATAATTTTCAAGTTCAGGTGATTAATTGTAGCCATTGTTCCACAGAGTCAGAGTTCCTACTGGGGCCTGTGTTAATGAAGCTTTGTTTTTGACAGATGCAATTGGTTCTTCTTTGGGAAATACGTGCTATGGAATTGATCTTTTGCTGAGAATATCTGTGTTTACATCTCTGAAATACTGGTGACAGACTTTTTTCTCCCTCATTGAGAAAATATTCTTTTTCACTTTCTATGACAGGTTAAAAGAAGATGGATGCACAGAGTTCAGCCAAAGTCAACACAAGAAAGAGGAGGAAAGAGGCACCTGGACCCAATGGGGCAACAGAGGAAGATGGGATTACTTCCAAAATGCCTCGCTGTGCAGTTGTAAGTAAGGAAGAGTTTCCTGTGTTGTACATTTAACCTGGCAGTGGGAAGGTAGAAAACTGATATAACATTACAAGTCTTCTTAAATAATGGAGACAATGGACAGTAGCTGTGGATAGTAAGTATTTTCACAGTTGTTGGATATCTTATGCTTTCTTACTAGATTATAACTCACAGCTCAGTTGTAAGAGTTTTACATAGGAACGAAAAAAATGTTAGGAAAATTTGGAGGTTGTATTGTGTATTAGGTTAAAGATCAAATTCAAACTAATGAAATAGAGAAATCGGGTCTCCAGGCAGTGATCTTATCTTGGTATCATTTCATGGTGTTTAGTTTTCTGTGTCTTACTATCTTTTCTCCCATATCATTTAACCACTCTATTACTGCTTGTATCTTAGATGAGAATTTTTTTCTATTACTATTTATCTTGTATTCCTTTATCTCTGGGACATTATCTTTGTATTTCTAATTGTTGCCAAGCCTTCAGTGAAATACTGTATTCCAAATAGCTCTTCCTGTCTTAGGTTTATATCCTTCCTAAAGCTTCCCCTCTAAAAACATGTTAAAGAATACACAACTGAAGTTGTTGTTATTATTATTATTATTATTATTATTATTATTATTTTAATCCTCACCTGAGGATATTTTTCCCATTGATCTTTAGAGTGTAAGGGAGGGAGAGGGAGAGAGAGAGTAGAGAGAAACATTAATGTGTGAGAGAGACATCAATTGATTGTCTCTTGCACATGCACTGACTGGAGCTGGGAATCAAACTTGCAACCCAGGTACATGCTCTTGACTGGGAATAGACCCATGACTATTTAGTGCATAAGCTGACACTCTAACTGCTGATCAACACTGGCCAGGGCTGAAGTTATTATTGATATACAATATTATGAAATCCATTATCCAAAATCCCAGTGACAGAATTGCATGTTTCTGTATTTTCTTTACCTATATTAACTATTAGCCAGTGATCAAACTTTAGTTTCCATTGATTAGTCCTGGAGCTTCATAGCCCAAAGGGAAAAGCATTTCTACTCTGACACAGTTAACAATTGTTCCAAACCAATACTTGTATCTTGAGCAATAAAAACAACTGGACTCCACAAATAGGAAGCATATGGTCCAGGCCTGGTATTGATGATATTAGTAGGGCAAGTATTAGTTTCCTATTGTTGCTGTAGCAAGTTACCACAAATTTAATGGGCTGAAACAATACAGAAATATTATCTACAATTCTGGAGGTCAGAAAATTGAAACATATCTCTGTGACCTAAAATCAAAGTGTTGGCAGAGCTGGAGGTTCTAGCAGAGAATCTTTTCCTTGCCTTTTCCAGCTTCTAGAGACTGTTCACATTGCTATGCTCATGGTGCTAGCCAGCAATTGCATCACTTTTCAATATAATATATATATATATATATATATATATATATATATATATATATATATATATATATATATATAACCCTGGCTGGTTTGGCTTATTGGATAGAGCGTCGGCCTGCGGCCTGCGGGGTCCCAGGTTCAATTCTGGTCAAGGGCATGTATCTTGGTTGCAGACATATCCCCAGTAGGGGGTGTGCAGGAGGCAGCTGATTGATGTTTCTTTCTCATCAATGTTTCTATCTCTCCCTTCCTCTATGTAAAAAATCAAGAAAATGTATTTTAAAAATATATATTTTTTATTGCATACCGCAGCAAGTAAACTCAGAAAACGACTCAACAGTCAACAAAACAGAACATTAGTTTCTGAATGTTCCTTAGTTTAGATTAAGGAGATGGTGGTCGGCACCAATTCAGCAATCTCACTTGGAGTAGGGACACATGATAACAAAGTATGTGGTACTCTCAGCCAATCACCATAGCCAGGAATAGAGCAAAGAAGGCCTGTCCTATTGGAATGGGCTCTGAGAATACTTAAATTTCTTGGTCCTTATAATCTGAAAAATCTCAGTATTTTAAATTACTTTGATTCATATATTCATATCACAAATCAGTTGAGTGACTCTTGTTAACTATTTCACATTCTTCTCTGGCATACACTGGCCTACATGGGCTAATGTTTAAAGATTCACTCTCCCAACTGGCTGGACTGATCCTAATGAGGAGTATATGTTAAATAAACTTGTTTGTCATCTCCCTTGTATACTTGTACTTTCTGTTTGTGAACCTATTTCAACCCTGTAAAAAACACAAACAAGATATAAATGTATGTAGTTTTGTTAATCCTTACCAGAGGATGTTTCACCCCATTGATTTTTAAAAAGAATGGAAGGGGAGGAGGGAGGAAGGGAGAGAGAAGCATCTATGTGAGTGAGACATATCCATTAGTTGCCTCCTACAGCTGGGGCTAGGAATCAAATCTGCAATCCAGGTACATGTCCTTGACTGGGAATTGAACCCTTAACCCTTTGGTATATGGGGGGGACTCTCTAACCATCAAGCAACACTGGCCAGGGCGATGTTTCCTTTTTTAAAATAAATATGTTTTTATTTATTTTATTTTATTTTTATTCATTTCAGAGAGGAAGGGAGAGAAAGAGAGAGATAGAAATATCAATGATGAGAGAAAATCATTAATAGGCTGCCTCCTGCACGCCCCTACTAGGGATTGAATCCACAACCCAGGCATGTGCTCCAATGGGGAATCAAACTGTCCTGGATTATAGGTTGACGCTCAATCTCTGAGCCACGCCAATTAGGTTTAAATATATTTTTATTGATTTTAGAGAGGAAGGTAGAGGAGAGAGAGAGAGAGTAACATCAGTGATGAGAGAGAATCACTGATTGGCTGCCTCCTGCATGCCTTTCACTTGGGATTGAGTCCACAACCCGGGCATGTGCCCTGACCAGGAGTTGAACCAGAACTTCTTGATATCTAGGTCGATGCTCAAGCACTGAGCAACACTGGCTGGGCTGTTTTGCTTTTTTTAAATAACAGCTTTATTAAGATCATATAATCCACCAATTTAAATTGTATAATCAATGATTTTTAGTATAGTCACAGAGTTGTGCAACCATTACTACAACCAATAAACATATATTGAGAACCTCTGTGTGCCATTTGCTAAAATTAGAGATACAAAGATGAAAAGAGCCCTGGTTGGTTTGGGTCAGTGGTTAGAGTGTCAGTCTGTGGACCTAAGGGTCTGAGGATCAATTCCCAGTCAAGGGTATGTACCACAGTTGCAGATTCGATTCCTGGCTCTGGCTGGGGTGGGTGCAGGAAGCAACCAATCAGTTAAGTCTCTCTCACATTGATGTTTCTCTCTCTTTCTCTCCTTCCCTTCTTCCCTTCTACTCTATCTAAAAAATCAATGGGGAAAACACCTCAGATAACAATTTAAAAAATAATGATATCCTGGCTTGTGTTGCTCAGTAGTTGAGCATCAATTCATGAACTAAGGAGAAACTGGTTTGATTCCAATCAGGGCATGTGCCCAGGTTGTGGGTTTGATCCTCAGGAGAGGGAATGTAGGAGGTAGCTGATTAATGATGTTTCTCTCTCATTGATATTTCTCTCTACCTTCCTCTTTCTCTAAATATCAATTTAAAAAAATTTTTAAATCCTATTTAATAAAAGTAATATGCAAATTAACCGTCACTTCACGACAAAGACGGAAGTGCCCACAGCCAATAAGGAGGGAATATGCAAATTGATGTGACAAAGATGGTGGCACCAGCTGGAGCCATGGAGTTGGCTAGAGCAGGCAGTAGGCTTGGCTTCCTTGGTCTCCCCAGTGATAAAGAAAGCCAAGCCAGTCATAAAGCAGGCAGGAGGCTTGGCTTCCTTGGTTGCCCAGCCAGATCTGTGGCTGCCACCCAAACAAAGCCATAGTGGCAGGGCTGAGGCAGAGATAGTTAAGGATGACAAGGCCAGAAGGGGAGGGCAGTTGGGGGTGATCAGGCTGGGGGTGGCAAAAGTTGGGGGCAAGCAGGCTGGTGTGTGGGGGGGAAGTTGGGGGCAAGCAGGCCAGTGAAGGGGACATTTGGGGGTGAGCAGGCCAGCAGTGGGGGGCAGTTGGGGGCATTAAGGCTGGCAGGTGGTCATTTGGGGGTGAACAGGCCAGCAGGGGTGTGCCAGTTGGGGCCAAGCAGGCCAGCATGGGGAGGCAGTAGGAGGCAAGCAGGCCATTAGGGGGCACCAGTTGGGGGCAAGCAGGTCAGCAGGGGGTGCAGTTGGGGCTGATATAGCTGGGGGGGATTTGGGGGCTAGCAGGCTGGCAGGCAGGCAGGTGAGCAGTTAGGAACCAGTAGTCCCAGATTTCGAGAGGGATGTCCACAGGGATCGGGCCTAAACCAGCAGTTGGACATTTCCCAAGGGGTCCCAGATTGGAGAGTGTGCAGGCTGGGCTGAGGGACACCCCCCCCACTCCCGCCCCCCGTGCATGAATTTTGTTCACCAAGCCACTAGTCTATATATATAAAAGCCTAAGCGACTGAACAATCAAACAACCAGTCAGTTGGTTGCTATGACGCACACTGACCACCAGGGTGGTGGTGGGGTGGGGCAGATGCTTAATGCAGGAGTTGGCCTCTGATGGTCAATGTACTCCCCCCAGCCAACCTCCCGCAGTCTTTCCCCCTAGCTAGTCAGCCCCCATTAGCCCCAATGGAGACTGGGCGAGATGGCCCCGATTGGCCCTGATCACTCCCGATCACCAGCCAGCCCAAGGGACCCCACCATGCATGAATTCATGCACTGGGCCTCTACTAATAATACTTATACTACTACTAATAATAACAACAATAACACTGAGATGAAAGATGACTTCTGGGGCAATGCCTTCTCCAGTGCCAAGGATATCAAGATGATCCTGGACAGTGTGGGCAAAAACAAAACAGCATAGGGAATGTAGTTGATAATGTATAATCACTATGTATGTTGCCAGGTGGGTACTAGAAATACAGGGAAGAACACTTTGTAAAGTATATGATTATCTAACCACTATATTGTACACTTAAACCAAATGCAGAATAATATTGAATGTAAAC